AAGTGTGTATCACGTATGATACTTAACTGACCAGTTGTACTTATAAAATACCAGAGACTTAAACATTACTCCCCTTTTTGATGAGTGGTTGGGAGGTTTACTATTGGTAAACTAGTATTGAAATAATAGTAATAATATCTTGTTTATTTTTGTTTTTTTTGTGTAGGTATTTATTATGCATTTATCTGTTATTAATATTATGTTAAGGAGATATTATTCACCATTTAATATTTTGTTTGAGCCAATATGCACTGAAATTTTTTTATGATTGAGTGGAAATTTTAAACTTTTCTAACTAGGATTGGGGATAATGGTTTAAAACAGCAAAAAAAAAAAAAATGGACACTGAGAATACGACTCAGCATCCTCTTGTAAAACCACAATTCTGTTACTTCAAGTCTCTTTTTCATCTGCGAGGAGATTTTCCTGCATACACTGTCATTTGCTATAGAAGACAGAGATTTTCGTTCCATCATGTATGATGGCATAAATATCCTTATCCAAGAATGGAATGTAGTGCCAAGTGACTGATGTTATTGCTACACTTCTGCATTATCTGTTCGGAACTGATTCACAGATAATTCTCCTTTGAGAGGACCCAAAGAGATGGTGATTAGAAAAAAGCAAGTCCGGAATAAAAGGGGTTAATTTCAGGAGCTGTAAGCCTTGCCGAAAAATTCAAAGTTAAACAATCAGAAAAGAAATTGATGGCATCTGTGTCCTGAGATGCAATAGTTGTACCATTCAGGAACTTCATATATTGCATAGTTAACACAGATATCGCTAGACATCTGGCTGAAGCCGTTTGTTGAAAGAGAACATGGTATGTGTGTAGCAGTGTCATCTTGCTGAAAGATAATGCTATCCTACACATGGTGAATCTAACTAAAGAATGTCTCCAAAAAGATGGTTAGTTTGTTTTACCACATCCACTACATAGGTTCATTTGCATTAAAAAGAAATAAAATAGTGATCTAGCAAAATAATGAAATGATGGCATCTATTAACTGAAATAAAAGTTTATTGTAAACTTATCCTCATGCATTACAAATTCTTGCTTTTAAACAACTTTTTTAGCAAACAACTTATGGCACATCACATTGAAACACTGGTTCTCATGCAATCACTGAAGTTAAGCAACATTAAACCTGGTCAGTACCTAGATGGGTGACTGGGAAATATCAGGTGCTTTAAGCTTGGATGAGCAGGTGGTATAATGGTTAATGGCTAGGAATTGTTAATCAAAGAGTCAAGTTCCAATTACTGGTGGGTTCGTTATATTCACTTACGCACAAATACTCTTGGGAAAGGTATGAATCCATCTCTTCTCTCCCCTAGTTATGGATTAATTAGTAAGACTTTTATCAGTAAATCATTATTATCTCCAAAAAAGAATTTCTACAATCTAAGAATATTTTCTGGTTTGACATAACCTGCTAAACCATGAAAAATAAATCAAATCATTCAGCAAACGTTACTTTCACGTTTGGATTGGTAATGTTTTCAGAGCCTTATTGTATTACTTATACTTCAATTAGTTCTGTTCATAAGTTGGTAAATGAAACTTGATTAAATACTTCCCAGTGGCTGTTATTAAAATGTCTACTTAATGGGGTATAGTTGGTTTATCTCATATTTCCTATCCCATAAAAAGTGGTTGCTGTTTGAGCCAAGATTTTCTAAATGTTCATTTTCAAGCAGGAAAGACTGGCACAACACATTCTCCTGCACGTCTCGTAACGCCCCCCCCCAACTGGCAGCTCCCACCTCTCGTAAATATGCTCTCATGAAGAGCTGTTGACTGAATACTTGAAAGGTTTGAAACACATTGCGCATTGTCAGATTCTCTGTCCAGGGTTTTAACATTATCTGATAAAACTGACATTTTCTGGAAATTGTTCAAGAAAGAAGAAAACAAAAAAAAAAACCCAAAAAACTAATGGTCAGTGTAGCTTTTTATATCACGTCTTTCTTCTGTGCAAAGCTGTTATTGTGTCTTTTTAAATTGCTTCTCGTACAAGTCATTATTTTTACAAATAAAATGCATTTTTTTTTTCTTTTCTTTTTTTCTTCTTTTTTTTTTTTTTTTTTTTTTGATCCTTTTTTTTCTTTTAAAAAAATTTCTTTGACTCTTCATCTTCAATGTGAATATTGTGGGAGATGCGGCCTGCTACCTTGCATTAACTGACTGTCCTATATATATATATATATATATATATATATAAAATGTGTTAACGAATAAATTATCTATCATTATTATTATTATTGTTGTTATTATCGGGGAGAGGGGTTCATAAATTCACTTCTAAATTACCCCACATAAATACATACCAACATATATAAAATTCTGTTATTATTATTATTAATGATAATAATAATAATAGATATTGCCGTTCATTAGATTAATTCTGCTGTATTTAAACCTTTTGTACTTAAAATATTGCCATTATTTTTTTGTGTATTAAATGAAGTGTATAAATAGTTTTCTTTTTAATGATTAAATAACATTATTTTAACATAACATTTAGTGTTGCTTATTTTATTGTATATTCAGGTTTATTTTCTTAAATTATACATATCAGTGCAAATAGATAATTTCTGTCTGAATTTTTGGCATCTGGATTTATCATGATTTACATTAAGGCAAAGATCTTCATTTTCGTCATTACTATCACGTTTCGGCTATTGTTACCTCTGACTTTCTTCAGCTGTCTTGACATGAGTGACCTGCAGGGAATTTTAAACTGAGCCCTTAATTATCTGTCTATTTCTGAAATGTGGCATCTCTATAAAAGGCAGGATGTGTGTGTGTGTAACAAATGCACGGCCACAACTTTTGACGGATTTGCACCAAAATTTACATGCACATGCTCCAAGTTAGCGGGAAGGCCAAGGTCATCTTTGCATTTCCCAACTCCCATCGATAATGGAAATAATCGATTTTTTCATGCTTCTACGGCAGTTTTCATGTAGTTTGCGGCCATTTTGTACTGGCCAGAGTGAGAGCCAATAGCTGTCTGCCACAAATAGGCAGGAAGATTCTATTGGCCAGTGTGAGAGCCAACAGCTGACTGACATGAATATTAACTAGCATGCTAGCATGCAAAAAAAATTGATAGCTGCATTTGTCACAAGTGGGAAAAATTTAAATCTGCATGGCAATTTACTCCAATTGGCTCATTAAACACTTAAACTCAACATTGATTCTGATTCCGCAGAACTGGGTTAGGTGTGAAAAAGTATTTGTTGTTAACATTCTTTTTTTCATTTGGTTTTTCCAGTTATGAGTCCTTTTTAAAGCTGGTCGTTTTGTGTTCATTTTGTTTAGTTCTTTTTTCATAACAGATTTAATGTTTAGTATAGAGCTTAGAAAAACTTCGCAGTGTGAGATAGGCAAGAAGTAAGGCATGTAGCAACATCAGCACGGCAAAGGGCACTCCTTTAAAGGCAAGGAAGGGCAAAAATATTTTAAGTCAAGTGATAGCGATTGCTGTATGAGTCGTATGATTTTTGAATCAAGCACGGTCAACGCCGGGCCATGCTGCTAGTTATGTATAAAGATGAGGTATAAAGATAAGGACAATAGTTCGAATAATGTAAATAGTGAGCCCTTAAACTTTTTCATCTTTTATGTGCTGTGTCTCTTCAGGACATAGGCGATCATGGCTCTCCACTTTTCCCTATCCCTCGTAGTTCTCAATATGTTTTTTCCTTTTGTTACTTCTCCCAAACCCTGTTCTGTCATCGACTTGCTTAAGCCTGCTAGGTATTTCATACGTTGCTTTCTACTTGTCTCTCTTTCTCTTTATCTGCCCTGTTAGTATCATTTGGAGAATGATACTAACAGGGCCCTCCTTTTTCATTTCAGCTGCCTCTTTCTGATGTTAATTATAAGCTTCCTCCTTGTTTGCATCCTCTCTGAAACCTCAAAGTTGCACACACGTTTGGTCCATGGTATCCTTAGCATCCTTCTGTAGAACCACACCTCTGTTGTCTACAGGGTTAAATTGTTCTTAAGTTGTCCATGTTGCGGGTTATGTTTTTTATTTTTTTATTTTCTTTCTTCGTATTCCTCATTTATATTTCTCACCCTGTTTGCTCCACGGGACTGTAGTCTAGTGGATTAAAATATTGCTTCATGAATTTAGTGGCATTGTAATTGGGAGTTCAATCCCTGTGCTTGGTAGTACATTCAAGCGTTGTGGAAAGCAGGGTGAGCAATAATTGAACAGTACTTTAGAAATAAAAATAAAGACATCTCTAGACACGGAGAGCAGAATAAGAACTATCTACCCCTGTTGATTAAATAAAGGGTTCAGTTTGGAATTCCACTGGAGGGCATATAGATCGGCATAAACCTGAAGGAGGTCAAAGGGCACAGTGGACAATGTGATAACAGCAAAGATGAGAACATTAGTCTGAATGTAAATAATGTCGATAATGGCAGGATTACGAACAGATTGGTTTACTTAAAAATTTAAAAAAAAATTTCTTTATATTCAGACTTTAATATTTTTTTTTAGATAAGACAGATGAAATGCCTGTTTTTAATTGTACTTGAATTCAAGACTCTGAGAGTTGTGAGTCCTTACTAAATGAGCATTGAATTTAAGTATATTTTATACATTGGTTATTTAATATATAATACATCAGTGTATTGAGATAACTGTTAACTTTTTTTTATACTGGAGTTGTCTCCCTTGCAATTTTCCAAAATTTTTAGGAAGCCAGGAACTAAAAAAATAATAATGATGATGATGACTTAACAAAATATCAATTTCATGTATGCCATCATTTTTGGAGGAATTGGTAAATTATATAAAACAATATAAAAGACATTTTTATATAAAATACTATCTTTTTTTCTTAATTCTTTGTATTGGGACTTTATGAATTTAAAAAAAAAAGTTGATTAGAAAGTGAAAAAAAAAGTTTTTAATTAGAATTAAACTTAGTAAGGACTCTACTCCTAAATCTTTGATGGTTTATAGCCGCATCATGTTGAAACACCGATTCCTGTATGATCACCAAAGTTAAGCAACATTGAGCCTGGTCAGTACCATGATGGGTGACCATTTGAGAATACCAGGTGCTGTAAGCTTGGATATGTTTAGTGATGTAATGGATAATGGCTTGGAAATGTTTATCAATTCCAATTATAGTTGGGCTCATTAGATTCACTTACAGGCAAATAAACCTTTGGAAAGGGTTGAATCCACCTCTTCCCCCCCAGATACGGGTTAATTAGTAAGACATAAAAAATAAATTCCTAAAAAAACTAAAAATATTTTCTGGCTTTAAATAACCTGCAAAATTTGATAAGCCATAAAAAACAAATCAATCTCTGAAAAAAAAACCCCTCTGTGCCCAATTCTTACTTTCCAGTCTTGATAGAGTTGTGTCCATGCAGTTTTTGAGTGTGTTGAATTATTTTTCACTCTACAACCCATGATTTTCAGAGTAAGCATTGGCAACATTTCACTGCTCTATAGCTCTTTCCATGGTAAATGTTCTGACGAGCTACATTCATTATTTCCCCAGTTCAGACCTTCACAACTACCACCCTGCCAGTCGAAACGTCGCAAGAGTCTCGCTAATCTATCACTATTTCCATGACAAATGTTCTGACGAGCTACATTCATTAGATCCCCTTGTTCAGACCTTTACAGCCAACCTCCACACCAGTCGAAATGTCGCAAGCCTCTTGCTAATCTATTGCTGAAAAAAATCCTTCATCTCACGTATACTGAGACAAATTTTCCCTGTCCTCTTTGTACTCCAGTCATAAGAAAGAAGTTCCATTTGGACAGCTTCTTCCTAAGGACCACTACCACACTTCCGAGCGAATTTTTTTCTTTTTAATCGGTATCACCCCATGCAAGGCAATAAAGCCACTGAGACGCAAGGGGGCTACAGGCTGTCGAGCAATTAGAAACATTAATAATGAATGGAAAGAGAAAAGAGTAATCAGAAGGACAGTAGATAGCGATTGACATTGCATTTAAAATTTTGCCGATTAAAATTGGCTGAGAAACCATGTGGCTGGAAGAGAGTTCCACAAGCGAAAAGTACGAGAAAAGAAACGTAACAGAACTTATGGCTGCATCTAGCTTGCTCAACTCTCAACTAGATCTCGATGCCAGTCTCGTACTGCGCTTAAATTCAGGAAGTCTAGGTACCCTAGCGAAGAGCAATATTTATTTGTAATTTATTTACAAAATATGGCACAAAGCCAAAATGGGGAATGAGGAAAAGACGGTCTTCTGTCTTAACGTTAAACTTATCTAGCCACAAACATTGACCCAAACATACAACAATATTCCTTACATCACAACAACGCATTCTTACTTAACCATTCTTACTACAAACACCATAATACTGCAATATTTCTATGAAAGTCCTAACTAGTCCCCTTATGTGCAATTCATTGTCTGTGGACAGAGGGGGATAAAACAACGATTTAAAAATCTAAACCCCAATGAATATTTACAAAAATGAACAAAACTGTATACAAGAAAATAAACAAAATAGTGTTAGTAATAAAATCCCACACAATCCCTAGGTGTGGCAGAAACATCAGTTAAGTGGATGAAATCAATGCGGGGGACTCTAATACTATAAAATATTCATTCATTCCAAGCACTCACTCAAACATACACTGATTCAAAAACAACAAATACGAAAAACACACCCAAAACGAAAGGCGCCCCGCATCCACCAGAGAATTGACATCACTGACCACTTAACAAGGGCGGGGATGGGGAATTAAACTAAAAAGAAATGAGGACAGAAATAAAAAGGGCCAATGAGCATACATACCCTAGCTAAGTTAACTGAAATGAAGAAACTAAAGAAGACACAGAAACAACCATAAACTAACTTAATCCGAGTGGGGTTAGTCTATGTAACCATACCATAGTGAGGAGCTCATCCAAACAATTGCCATACAAGTATTTATAGAAAAGGCACAGAGAAGCAACCTTACGGTAGTGAGAAGCTGAACCCCCAGATCAGGAACAATAATATTGCTGATTCTTCATTGGATCTTATAAAGATGCTCTATGTAAATAGCTGTCAAACTCTGCATTAGCAGAGAGGAACCCGGACGAAGCTTTGCCGCAGGGCAAGGTTTCGTTCGGTGAGGTAGACAGAGCCTGAATCCGTCAATGCGGCTCTAAAAAGGCTATATTTTTGGCCGGGCCTGCGGGCTCGGGATACCCACACTAAACCGGCCTTGTGCCATATTCAATCCTTGTGGCTGGGTTGATAAATAGCGAGCAAGACCTCCGAGTCTAGCTGTCGTGATACAGTCTTTGACTGGAAGCGACGACTGTCAAACTCTCTGCATTAGCAGAGAGGAACCCGGACGAAGCTTTGCCGAAGGGCAAGGTTTCGTTCGGGGAGGTTATGACAGCTCTCAAACCCGCCTAGGCGAGTCGAAGGCTATATTTTTGGCCGGGCCTACGGGCTCGGGTGACCACGTAAACCTCGGCCTTGTGTCACATGCGACCCCACGTGGGGGGACAGCTAAATATTTGTAAATAGCAAGTGCACCGGACCACACGTGACAGCAATATTCTAAGCATGGATTTGTAGATATATAATATCCATTCCCAAATGTCGGGAACACTAGAATCCAGCAGACGCAGAAATATCTGGGAAGTGTCTTAAAAGAGGACGGTAAGTGCGACACTGAGATCCCTAAACATATTGGGATGGCCAAGGACACATTCTAAAAGCTGAGCAGAGTATTGCGAGACAGGAGGATTTCTTTGGTAACAATGAAAGAATATTTAGCTGTTACGTGACATCTGTCCTTCTTTACGGCAGCGAATGTTGGACGATTTCCTCAAAGATGAAGAAGAGACTCGAGGTGACAGAGACGTGGTTTTACAGAAAGATGCTGAGGATATCATGGGCCGAGCATGTGAGTAACGATGAGGTCTTGGAGAGGTTACAAACAAGAAGGCTTATGCTTAACATCGGAAAGAGGCAGCTGAAGTTTCTGGAACACATATTGAGGAAGGAGTGTCTGGAGAATCTGATACTCACGGGTCGAATAGAGGGAAAGGGAGACAAAGGAAAACAACACGTAACCTACCTGGCGGACTTAAGCAAATGGATGACAGAACGTGACTTGGGAGAGGAAGCAGAGGGAAGAAACTTGCTGATCTCTGCGAGGGATAGAGGGAGGTGGAGAGCCATAATCGCCTACGTCCCGAAAGGACATGGCATATAAAAAGAAAAAAAAAGTCGGGGATACTAGAATCAAACAAGAACAAAAAAAATTAATATTTGGGATGCTTTCTAACAGATGTGGTTCTACAGAAGGATGCTGAGGATATCATGGGCCGAGTTTGTGAGTAACGATGAGGTCTTGGAGAGGTTGCAAGCAAGGAGAAGGCTTATGCTTAACATCTGAAAGAGGCAGCTGAAGTTTCTGGAACACATATTGAGGAAGGAGTGTCTGGAGAATCTGATACTCACGGGTCGAATAGAGGGAACGAGAGACATGGGAAAACAACGCGTGACATTCCTGACGAGTTTGAGCAAGTGGATGACAGAACGATGTCTGGGGGAGGAAGCAGAGGGAAGGAGCTTGCTGAGAGCTGCAAGGGATAGAGGGGGGGTGGAGATCTATGATCGCCTACGTCCTGAAATGGCATAGCATATAAAAAGGAAAAAAATATGTACATTCCAGAGAGAAAAATTGGCTGGCACGACATCGTGAACCTAGTCTTTTGGCAGCTGACCTTGCAATGGAATGGGTTTCTCTGATCGCCGCAATCTTAAACGCTTCATGCCTAGGGTCGGTCAGCTGTTATTTTACCTGCACGTCCTCACAATATACACTGGTTATTGGGCCTTGTGTTGAGTGAACAATTAGTGTAAAAAAAAAAAAAAAATCCGGAAACGAAGAGCAAGAAGAAGAAAATAAATTCCTATAAAACAGAAAAAAGGAAATGCAAAAAGCTAACTGGTTCCTCACAGCTCTAACTGAAGAATAAAAGTGATGTGCACTATTTACATTATTCGGACTATTGTCCTCATCTTTGTCGCCATATTTATTACAACGTTTCGGCCGTTGTACGTTCCGGCCTTCTTCAGGTGGTTGGAAGTTCCATATGCCATGTTTAATGGATGTCACTTGTCAGTTATCCCCTGTTAATTCCCCTCTCCAAGTTCTCCACTGCCTTAACCGAGTATTGAACTCACAATCTTTGGGTCCTGTCACTGGATCTAACCAACCAGAACAGTCTACCCCAGTGAGCGAAATAAAGGGTTCAGTTCGACATTCCAACCATCGGAAGAAGGCCAGAGCATACAACGACCGAAACGTTGTAATAAATATGGCGATAAGGCTGAGGACAAGAGTCCGAATAATATAAATAGTGTACATAATACCTCATCTCAGAAATATAGACAGATACCAAAAGTGATGTGCACAACAATTAAAATATACGCCATTAAAGTATTAAAAATGATTGGGGGGATGCTAGAGACATTTATAATAGAACATATATTATAAATTAACTGATTTAAAAATATGATTCTATCGCTACACAGGAATTACCATGTTTCAAAAACAGAAACTAACAACTTCAAATTCAATTATATAATTAAATTAAAAGCACTAGGTCTGTTTCATTTTCAAGTGAATTTTGGAATAACTTATTTTGAAATTTACTGAGTTTTAAAAGCACATTCATAATATTTGTTTCCAAGGATACGGAGAAATCCAATCATTTAGACATAGAACATATATCTACATTATTTGGACTGTTGTCCTCATCTTTATTGTCATATTCACGACGTTTCAGCCATTTTACACAGCAGCCTTCTTCAAGTGATTGGTATTTCGAACTGAACCCTTTATTTTGTTCACTGGGGTAGAATGTTCTAGTTCCACGTGCCATATCTCTTCCGGATGTCTCAGTTATCTCCCTTTAACTCAACTCTCTAAGTTTTTGTGCACCAATGCAATAGCCCGGTATTGAACGCTTTCATCCACTGGGCCATGTGTACTCATCTCAAAGTCGCGTGTTTAACACCTGACTACTGCAATAGTGAACAAAAAATTGGAGAGTTGAGTTGCTAA